CATTCAAATCAATGGGATACAAGACCATTTCTACCCAGCTTATTACTGGAGGAAGCTGATGATCTTATTAGAAAGGACTGTGCCTGTCTGCCACTGCTGAAAAGACTGCATAATTATTACAGAGTAGAAAATAAACATCAGGAAATAAATATATAGGGTGGAGCGTTCACTTCTTATAAGGTTAGAGAAAAATCTGACAGAGGTGCCCTAAGATGCATAAAATCTACATGCATGATGTAGAAATGAGACTGATTTAAAAACACAAGGTGGTAGAACTGGCCAGCAACTGGGTAGGGGCAGGGAGACATGGGATCCCCCCTAGCAATCCTACCCCAAATGTGTTGTGAGACTCTGGATAATCATCAGTTCTGGATCCCAAATGCCTCAATTCCAAAATTAGAAATTGGGTCTAGGAAGGGGGTTTTTAAGCCAATCTCAAAAGTTCACATACAGTGTGACAAGATTCCAGAGTTGGAGAACACATGAGCGGCTGCCAGGTGGCAGTGGGCACGAGAACAGAAGGTCAGCACAAGGGTAGCTCTGGGCTGAGGAAGCGATTCTGCTCCTGACGGTGGTGCTGGCCACACAAGTGACACACAGGATCAAATGGCAGTGAACCACACACGCATTCTGCCCATGCCAACGTCCTGATGTTGATATTGTGTGATAGTTGTGAAAGACGTAACCAATGGGGGAAACTGGCCTAAGGGCACATGGGACCTTTCTGTACTATCTTTACAACTTCCTGTGAACCCATAATTACTTCAAAACACAAAGATTTTTAATAAAAAGGTTTTTTTAGACTTTGAACAGCCAGATTCTTATTTTCTCTGTGGACCCTCTGATTTGAAATATTTTATTTACTAAATTGCGTTTATTAAGCTAATTCCTATGCCCATATTTATTGTTCAAATAATATATATAACTGTCTCACTTCACAATTTATATGAAAGAACAATTTCCAGATGGATCAAAGATATAGGTAAAAATTAAACCAGAGAAAATGAAAGCAGAGAAATATACAAATGCATGTTTTTATAAACTGGGGGTGTGGGGTGAGTTTTCTAAGCCATGATAAAGAGGGTAAGAAATTTAAAAGAAAAGTTTGAAAGTAGTGACAATACAAAAATCTAAAATACCAGCAGAATGAAAAAAGAAAAAAGCAATGCTATAAAGGAAACTAAAAGACAAATGACAAACTGTGGAAAATATTTCCAGCATATCTGATAATTCGAAGGTGTAATAAGTAATGAATGAGGAATACCCACAATCAGACACAAAACACAAATAGCTACTACCTATACACAGAGATCGTACACTAGTGACCAAAGAAATGTAAATTAAAACATTAAAGAAAATAGTTCACATAAAAGATTGGCAAGTCAGACACAAAACACAAATAGCTACTACCTATACACAGAGATCGTACACTAGTGACCAAAGAGATGTAAATTAAAACATTAAAGAAAATAGTTCACATAAAAGATTGGCAATAATCAAGACTAACACAGCCCAGGATAAAGAGGATATAAGCAACATGAAGACACAGCCCATGATGGAAAAAATAACTGATATACATTTTTGGCAGGGTGGTTGACAATACATGTATGTGTCAAAATGTAAAATATGCCCTATTAACCCAGCAAGTTCATTACTGGGCATTTACCTAAGTCAATAATGGTATAAGTACAAAAAATAATAATAAAATAATAGTAGTCATAAAATACATGCTCAAGACTGTTCACCTGAGTAGTGTTTTTCGATCAGGAAGCAAAATTTAAAACAATCTTAACAACTGGAGACAGAGTAAAATTTATGGCCCATGCATATGACTAAAAATGACAACAACCTACATTTACTGATTGTTTGGGGTCAGGACACACAGCAAAGCAGTGAAAAACACAGACCTGGGAGCCAGCCTTCCTGGTTCATAACCAACTCCCCCACTAATGAGCTGTGTGTTCTAAGCAAACTGCTGATCCTTTCTGTGCCTCAGTTTCCTCTTCTATAAACTGGGAATAATAATAGTACTTACCTCTTAAGGTTGTTAGGAGAATTAAAAGAGCTAAAACACTGAAAACAGCATCTGAAACACAAAATGCACTAGAAAATAGCTTGTTAAATAAAATGTATTGTCATGAAAAATGTATCTGCCACATTAGTGAGTGAAAAAAGATCACAGAATATTATGTATGATCCCACTTCCAAAAAATGCATGTGGTGTACACAGAAGGGCAAAAGGTTTTCTCTTCTTCAGACAGTGTAACAGTCATTTTACTTTCTTCTTAATATTCTCTGTATAATTACAGGTATTAAAAAAGAAAACAAACAAAAATGATACCAAAAATGATATCAAATAGGCACTCTCAGACACTTTTGGAATCTAACTTGGTATAAGCTTTCTGGAGAAAAATTTGGCAATATGTAATACCTTTTATGACTCAGCAGTCCTACTTCTAGGAATTTATCCCACAAAAAACAATATAAATCTACAAACATGTACCCACACATACACACACACACACACAAACACATACATACACATATATGCAAATACACATACAGGAGTGTTTATTAAAGCAATATTTATAACAGCAAAAAATTGATAATAATCTAAATTTTCATTAATAACCTAAATTTTCATTAATTGTACCATAGTTGGTACAAAAAATGGAATACTATATAGCACTGAAAAATGATGTCACAGAGCTACATGGAAAGATCATTTTGGTGAGGTCCTTCAACACACAGGTGAAGATTTTGCACTTTACTCAAAGGAGAGACACTGAAGGATGGTGTTTTAACCCCAAAGGCAATGCAGACTGGGAACAGCCACAGACCTGAATGAATTTCTTGCGTTGCCTCAGAGTCAGACTAGGCCTGAGGTCTGGAGGAAGAGGAAGCGGGAATATTGGTTGTTGCAAAAGAGCTAAGTCCCTGATTTCTAGCCATAACTGTGTAGAAAGACCAGGAGCATCTCAGAAGCAACTCGACAAAAAAAAACCCCTGTGAAGGCACAAAAACAAAACAGATTCTCAAGAAGGAACAGCATGGAATGATCACAGAGAACTGGATTCTCAGAAGGACTCGGGCAGACACTACAAACAGAGCACAGCTGCCTTGATGGCGAGAGCTGGCCCCTCTGATTAAAATGTGACAGCCACTGACTAGCTCTGCCAGAAAAAGACAGTGTGGGCTGTGCATATGACAGAAAGAGAGAAAAAAAGAGAGAGAGGAAGCAAGCAAAAGAGGGAAGGGCAGAGCCTCCATAACCCAAATCCAGTGATAAACCCACTGGAAATCAGAGCTTCAGGGTCAGGGGAGGTAAGTCCTAATCCTTCCTCCCTCAACCATCATATTTCTAAAATCACAAGGACTTTAGGTTCCCGAACTAGGTGCTAATTCCTCTGAAATCACAGCACTCCCTGCCCACATCTCCCACAGGACAATTACTCAAGTGCCATCATGGGAGAGCTGCCATGGCGCTGCTGGTTTGAATACTCGGTCGTTACCTCCATCAGCCCGTGCAGCCTGGTAAGGTCCCACACAATCACCTTCAGAGTTCCTTCAAGGAAGGAACAACATCTTATATTTTCTACAACTTGCACAGATGTTGTCAACGAGCCTTGGCCACCAACCTAGATGTTCAATAAATATTGGTTGATGAATTACTCAATAATTCACCTAATCTGTGCTAGGATTTTGTATACAAAGTGTCTTGCTTCAATATAGGGAGGGATTTTTAGTAAAGAATTTAAGAATAGGGGTTCAAAGTAGGACAGCCTGGGTTCAAAATCCAGATCCCCTAACTAAAGGACCCTGGACAAATGAGTTAATCTTTCACTGTCTAAATGCCCTTTTCTGTAAAACAGGAAGGACGACAATAGTGCTGTGCTCATATGGCAATGAACAGCTAAGAGTAATGGCTAAGATTTACTAGGTACTTTTGATATGGCAGGTACTAAGCACCTTATAAATCCTGTCTCATTTAATTCTCAAAGCAACCATATGAAATAGTACTGCTTTTATTCCCATTTTACAGATGAGGAAACAAAGGCAGGATGAAGTTAGTAAGTGCTGGAGCTGAGATTCAAACCCAGATAGCCATAGTCCAGAGCCTATGTTCTTAACCAGAACTGCCCCCTATGTAACACACTTAGCATAGTACAAAACAGTAAGAACTTCTTGAGCAAGGAGTACAGTTTGAAGACCTCAGAAATGGTGCAAGTACCAAAAAACAACAACAGAACTCACAGCAGAGGCCCTCACCTCTCCAGTGCAGCCTTTGCTACTTCATTCCTCCTACTGACATCATCTTCAGATGGGCTATACCTCAGCGACATCATTCCCTGATCACATCACCCCCCTTTCAGTCCCTTCCAGAAGTTGCCTCAGAGCTGAAGCCTAGCCAAGAACTACCCAGAAGAAGCGCCCACTGTTCTTTATTTTCTTCAAGAATGCCCACCGCCATCAAGTCCTTAGCCACCGCCAGCCAGTCGAGGTCTCTCACAGGGGCCCTGACCATCCTGATCTCTGCACTTCTGCTCACACGGCCCCATCCATCCATAAGACTCCCTCCCCCTGCTAATCCAAATGCTACCAAAACTGTGACACAGGCTCACTCCTGACTTCCCATCAGAAAGCTTTCTCCCTCTGACAATTTATTATCCTTTAACATTTTGCACTTTAAAACCTTATCTTCTCTCCCAGAACATACACTCACCAAGGGTAGGGACTGTCAGTTATGATCTCTGCAACCCCGAGCATCTACTAAAGTACCCCCCTTCCCAACCTGCACACTATGGGTACCAACTACCGGGTGACACATTCATTTCACAGATTATTTACAGTAATAATAATTACAAAAATAAGCACTTTTCCAGATGGGTGAGACCTGTATAAATATGTGCGATTTCCAAGTAATCACTGAGCCAGTAAAAACTGGTATTAGTGGTGACATCTCCTCACACTGACATGTTCAGCCCTTAGGCAGCATTTACCTGCTTCCCCTTCCTCCTCACCCAAATTCAGCACGATAATGCAGATGTGCTTCCGCAGCTGGCGCGTGTTGGAGAACTTCCGACAGCACTTGCTACACTCCAATCTGCCTGGGGCCAGGCTGCTCCCTTCCTCTGGAGCCGGCGGACTGTCCTCGCTTGGACTTGTGATGTTTTCTGTGAGCTCCTCTTCAGCACTGGGTTTCTTTGTGGACCCCTTAGGCCTGCCTCTCTTCCTCTTCATCACCAAAAACTCTATGAAGGAAACAAAAGGACACAATGGAGTCACACAAGTGACAGTGAGGGGTACACACTCAGTTTCCAAGTGTGTGAATATGTTTGGGTTTCACATTTTATTAAGAATGAAAAGTCTGAAGCAATTCCAGAAATTAACAGCTGCAAACAATATCTTTGGTACTAATATCACTGCATCTTTATACTAATGGATAACCAATTTTGTAATATTCTGATTCAAAACTATGAGAAGCTTTGCACACGCTCCTTGTGTAAAGCTGGAAGGATTTTAAGTTGTGGTCCCCATGTTCACCTATCCTGCCCCTGTTAACCACCATTTCCATTTAAATCCAGTTCTCAGAAACTACTTAAGGATTTCTTTGCAAAGGGTTCTCAAAGGCTGCTGAGTTTGTCGCGCTCCTAATGAGTTACACAACTATTCAGATTATTTCAAGGAGTCATAATTATTACAGTCAAACTGTCCTGCTGAGAAAGAGAAAAATAATTACAATCTAAAGCCACAAATTATAGGACTAAAGACAATAACAATATTTTTCGAGTTTCCTAGCGACGCTCCTAATGAGTTACACAACTATTCAGATTATTTCAAGGAGTCATAATTATTACAGTCAAACTGTCCTGCTGAGAAAGAGAAAAATAATTGCAATCTAAAGCCACAAATTATAGGACTAAAGACAATAACAATATTTTTCGAGTTTCCTAGCGACCTAGTGATTTTAAATGGCATGATCAGAGCTGCTTTAGAGCAAGTTCCAAATCATTTTACAGCTTGTATTTCTTCTTCATTAGTGTTCATTTTTAAGCAATGTCATCTGCAGAATAAAGGTGGGAATTAAGAACGGTGAGTGGGGTCAGGGGGCAGAGCATCGTGTACAGCTGTGTGAGGTGGAGTGGTATGGTCTTAGGGGGTGTGACCTGAGTGGTGCTCCTGCAGAGGCCACGCTGGGAGCTGACACCAGCCTGGCTGACATCCCAGTGCCACAATCATCTGTCTGGTTGATGGATGGCATTTCAGCAATCCTCTGAATCTGAACATCAGGGTAGATGAAACAGTCCAAGGTTCTGGCACCATCTTGGGTCAATGTTCATCTGTAGGATCAGGATGTCTTTCAGGTTCCTTCCTGCTCTCTCTAAAGCTACACTTGGCTCTGGGGGCAGAGATGGCAGTACAGTTTAGGGATAGAGTCTGTGGGGAAAGAGCAGCAGGACAACAGGGGCTCCAGACAAAGTAGCCTGCTTAGCACAAGGGCCCCAGGAAATCAGAGGTCAAGCACTAGAATGAGGTAGGAGACTTCCTGAGAAAGGGGGACCCTTGCAGGAACAGAGCTTCTGCTGAGCTGCTATGCAAAGGGTAGGTCGGTCAGCCTTGGCCAAGAGATCCAAGCCAGAGCCATCTTGACCAGGGCAGCCAGCACAATTACGGTTTCACTCCACCCACAGGGGCTTGCTAGGGCAGGGGGAAAACAGGGGTACTTAACAACACAAAGGCAAACCGAGAAACAGATAAAACAAAAAATGAACACAGGACCCTGGGGTCACTTTGCCAGCACTGGCTTTCACCAAGGAGAACAATGGCTGTGTCTATGGAGGACCAGCCCATGTGTTGGGAGATGGGAGGGCTGAAGGCAAACCGAGAAACAGATAAAACAAAAAATGAACACAGGACCCTGGGGTCACTTTGCCAGCACTGGCTTTCCCCAAGGAGAACAATGGCTGTGTCTATGGAGGACCAGCCCATGTGTTGGGAGATGGGAGGGCTGGGGGGGAGTAATGGAATGTACAGAATAAGGACAAATCATGTACCTCAAAGTCATTAAAACTTTGGTTATTATTATTTTTTACAACATATACTTCTACAACCTACTGAAGCAGCAATTAATATCAGAGAAGCAGAATTAGTGGAGAGTCTTTAAAACACCCACCTCATGTCACATCAGTTGAGCTGCAGAAACATGACGCATAACAGCTTATTGAAGTTTGTGGCCCAGATCTAACCCCCAATGACAGACTGACATCTGCCTGTGCAGATACAAGCTGCTCCTCTGAAATGCTCTATGAGGATGCAGCTCCTCAGTGAAGAATTATCTTTACCCAAAGAGAGGTCTGGCCTTTGCCCTCTGCCACCAGGAGGTAACTTCTAGGCCCTTGGAAGTCCCTCCTGATAGTATCTTTGTTTGCCTGGGGGCTTTGGCCATTGGACAGATTAACAATGGGATTTATGACAAGGGCTTTGAACATGGCAATCAGTTCCACTTCTGGAAGAACTAAAGAATAAAGGTTTCCTGGTGAACCTCCAGGAGGGGCTGGAGACTACCTCATGTGTGCAGTGTATCATCAAGCCCCAATTAAAAATACTGGACACTCAAGGCTCAAGTGAGCTTCCTGGTTGGAAATAGTCTTGAGTTGTCACACATTTTAGCTGGGAGGAGGTAACAGTGTCCAGGACTCCCTGGGCAGTGGGGGACAGTGGGGAAAGCTTCATGTTTAGAATTCCCAGTCCTAGGCTTCACTTGTACGTCTCTCCCTTTGGCTGGTTCTCATTTGTACCCTTATAGTATAATAGAATTATAATCATAAGTGTAGTGCTTTCCTGCATCTGTGAGTTCTTCTATAACAAATTATCAAATCTGAGGGAGATCACACGGATCCTCAAATTTGTAACTAGCTGGGAGGAAGTGACGGTGGCCCTGGAGACCCCTCGCATTTCTGGCTGGCATCAGAAGTGTTGGGCAGACTTGGTGGCTTATGGAGAACTGTGCCCTTCACCTGGACTTTGGCAAACTTAGTGTAGAGGGTAACCAGCATTTTCTCCACACAGACTGCCAGAGCACGGGGACAGCAGTACCTACTGTGTGCAGCAGAGTTATCCAGGAAGCTCTCTTCCCACAGACTGCAGATCTTCGAAGGCAGAGTCCTTGTCCTGATTGTTTTTTATCCCCCTAAGCACCTAACCCAGTACCCTTCACAGCAGGGACCCAACAAATCTGGGTGAATTAAACTGATGAAATCCTGTCAAGGAAGATAATTTTTTAAAAAAAGGAAAGAATTGTTGTCAAGGAAAAACCACTAAATCGGCCCTGAAAGCTTTGGAAAGCCTCAAACATGATGATGACAAAACTAATCTCCCATCTTGCTGCATCTATAATTCAGACATTCAAGACCAATTAGTTGGCTAAAAATGAAATATTAACAAATGAACTTGGAATAATTTAAGCACTGAAAATGAGTTGCTACTGTCTACTACACACATTTTATGGAAGAGCTGAGAATCTTGGAACTGGGCAAGGAAACTCATGTAACCTCTAAATAAAAACACTGTAATGGAGTTACCTTTAAATCTTCTTCCTCATCTCTGAATTTCCTCATTCTGTCACTGAACACTATGGATTTTGTCCTGAGACATCTGTCCAGTAAATCCCTCTCCATTCTCATGACAACTCTGCCCCCCAGATGCCTGCACATGGTCTTCAGATGCCAACCTTCTGCTCTGGGCTTTCTCTGCCTCCATCCCTATTCTCACTGTCACCTCCTCACTCTAGAACCTTCCATTGTTCTAGATGACTTTGCCCCACAACTCTCAGACCTGGTTTTCTAGGTCCTTTAGTACATGGCCCAACCCTACATACACATATAAAGCCTCTACCTTCCTCCTCCCTCCCCTTCCACTGCTCAGTGAAATTTTCTAGACCTCCCTAGATATGCACAGATAATCCCTGTGTCTTTTCACCTACCTGTACTATTCTCCCTGCCTGTGCCCACCTCCTTTACCCCAAATCAGACCCCGCACCTCAATTCAAATCCTAATGTTTCAGGTCCAGTTCATATTTCAGCACCTCTTCCATGAGGCTGTCCCAGCAGGACTGCCATCCCCTCACCTTGACTAGCATTACAGTGTGACTCACACATATGTGGAATGTGTGCTTCCCACACTGTTTCCTCCCACCTTCCATCATGAACCCGACATTTGAACTGGTCTTTTAATTCCCAGGTCCCACAGGGTCTTGAACAGAGCTCGATATGGAGGAGACACTTGATAAAAAAAANGTTTCACTCCACCCACAGGGGCTTGCTAGGGCAGGGGGAAAACAGGGGTACTTAACAACACAAAGGCAAACCGAGAAACAGATAAAACAAAAAATGAACACAGGACCCTGGGGTCACTTTGCCAGCACTGGCTTTCACCAAGGAGAACAATGGCTGTGTCTATGGAGGACCAGCCCATGTGTTGGGAGATGGGAGGGCTGGGGGGGAGTAATGGAATGTACAGAATAAGGACAAATCATGTACCTCAAAGTCATTAAAACTTTGGTTATTATTATTTTTTACAACATATACTTCTACAACCTACTGAAGCAGCAATTAATATCAGAGAAGCAGAATTAGTGGAGAGTCTTTAAAACACCCACCTCATGTCACATCAGTTGAGCTGCAGAAACATGACGCATAACAGCTTATTGAAGTTTGTGGCCCAGATCTAACCCCCAATGACAGACTGACATCTGCCTGTGCAGATACAAGCTGCTCCTCTGAAATGCTCTATGAGGATGCAGCTCCTCAGTGAAGAATTATCTTTACCCAAAGAGAGGTCTGGCCTTTGCCCTCTGCCACCAGGAGGTAACTTCTAGGCCCTTGGAAGTCCCTCCTGATAGTATCTTTGTTTGCCTGGGGGCTTTGGCCATTGGACAGATTAACAATGGGATTTATGACAAGGGCTTTGAACATGGCAATCAGTTCCACTTCTGGAAGAACTAAAGAATAAAGGTTTCCTGGTGAACCTCCAGGAGGGGCTGGAGACTACCTCATGTGTGCAGTGTATCATCAAGCCCCAATTAAAAATACTGGACACTCAAGGCTCAAGTGAGCTTCCTGGTTGGAAATAGTCTTGAGTTGTCACACATTTTAGCTGGGAGGAGGTAACAGTGTCCAGGACTCCCTGGGCAGTGGGGGACAGTGGGGAAAGCTTCATGTTTAGAATTCCCAGTCCTAGGCTTCACTTGTAC